TGATTTAAAATTGAATGAACTCTCATATCTGAAGACATTTGTAAAAATTTAATTTAAACTTCCAGTGCTTCATAGTTATTAAAAAGTATTGGTTTTTAGCCACAAATAACCCATTTCCTTCATTTTTTGTACCTTCTCCAGAAAAATAAAGACTAAGAAAACAGAAGTACTGATACACTGTAGAAATTGTCCCAATGAGTTTATAATCCAGTGAGAGTTACACGGTACTGATAAGTAAAGGAAGTTCAACCAGACAGTTTAATCCTCCAATTTCCTGTCTTCTAATCAGCGACTGACTCCTCTGGCTTTAAATTAGAAACATTCATGGCAATATTCAGGACAGGTGAAGTAAAAAGAGTAGAAAACAACTAGGACAAATACTTATAGGCAAAAGGAGGCCATGTATAGAAAATGAAGGTACTTTAAAGTGTATGTATAATAATGCACTGAAGTGTTAAAGTTATACATAGAATTTAGGAACTCTGACAGAGAAGGAATAATTTTATTAAAAATATTTATACAGCAGCTGAGCAGTGTATGAACATGTGAGAGTTACTGTATTAAACAAAGGAAATCCATGCAATGTTACACTCTGTTCACACTTCATTATTTTTACAGGGGTAGGAGCAGGATAATTATTAATACATATATGCTTTTTGATACACAGTAAATCATAAGTCGGAAGCACAGATCAGCAAAGCCACGGATGGTTCAACAGCATGTGGGGATTACCATGATAAACTTGGATGAGAGTACATACAGATACGCTCAGTGATTTAAAGAAAAAATACTACTTTTGAGCATTTTGGCAGTAACAATTAGTTTTTCGTATGATGAAATTAAATATTTATTAGATGCGCCATTCTTTTTAATCTCATTTACAATGAGATTTATAGTGAGGATTCTACTAATTCTTAATTGGTGGAAATTATAGTTGCATTTTGAAATTTTGAAATTTTTTGATTGCATAAATCATCTGAGCAACTTCAGCTATTCCTCTGAAAAAAACAGAGCACAGAGGTGGGAAAGAAAAGTAGTTACCAACAGCTCCAGTGTAAAAATGTTGTTGAGTTAAAACCCTCTAAAGTAACAAAATGACCACTTCAAGTCCAGTCTGACTATTTTTAATAAATTCTCTCTTTATTTATGGAATCTAAAGAAAACAAAGGCATTTACACTGAACTATGGATAATAAAAGTAGAAAATCAATTATTCTGGAAAATGACTGAAAGCTCTGCTTTGACTGTTGCATTCAATAAGAGCAGTTTGCCTGCTAACTCATACATGGAGTCATTGGAAATGGCTTCTTATTTATTAATGAGGCTTTTTATATTTCTTCAGATGTTTCACAAAGAGAACACTTTGGGGGTTTGAAACTGTTTGGACCGAGAGAACTCAAATTATGGGTACAAGTCGGTTCTCAGTCCCTCAGGTGAGTAAACCTGGAGTCGCTCTACTCCTCCCAGCGCAGCAACTCCAGGCCGACGGCAGCATAAACCTTGAGCAGAATTTGGCCCAATTTGGGATCTTTAGTTTTGTATTGTCATGGAGAATTTTCCTCCAGTATATACCTTTGCTGCACATGTATTTCAATAACCCCGTGCAAAGGAATTTTGCAGACAATCCCTTATTAAACATATTACAGTCACATCATACTGGCTTTGCTAGAGCAAATAATTTTAAAAAAATAATCAGCTTGAAATAAATGTTTATAAAAGTAGCACAGCTGCACATATTTGTTACAAATGCAAGACAGTACTGAAACTTTTCTATGACTAACCCTTTAGTGTCTCTATGACAGCAGCAAATTTAAATTTAAAGTGCCAATGATAACAAAATAATGATCATTTTTCCAACAAATTCATCTCATATCTTCAGACTGCTATAGCGGTTAAATTATTTACTATTATATCTATATTTAAAAATTAAATATAATTTATTTCTACGCAAATTTACAGCATTTGGGAGAAATTTTATGTTAAAATGTCACATTACAACATAGCCAAAATAATACTGTTTCTGCATTTACTTGATTAAAGCATAAAAAAGTAGATTAGGTGTAAGATTGCCTTAAACAGTGGTGACAAAAGCAATTATTGCTAAAATGTACAAATCCTGTGCGTTCTGCTGAAATGTTTGAAACATTTACAACTGTCTACAAGAAAGAAAAATAATGTTTTTCTTTTACTTTGACCTCTTGCTATTTTGGCAAGTAAGATAAAATATATTAGCCATTCCATCAGATGGCGGGAGAGAAAAACTAGCTGTGATGAGGAAAAACGAATTAAAGGAGCATTAATAAAGATTATCTATGAAAGAAAATAAGGTCAAAATTAGAACTCTGCATTTTAAAGCCACCTTTCAGAATTGCAAGCTGCTTTGCCCAATGCTAAAATCCATTCATTTTACTAATCATGCAATCAACCAATCTCCATTATCTCCAGGGCTGGCTATAAACATGCTATACACTGGGGTGAAAGAGGGAGAGTGTGAGGTTGAGAGACAGAGAGAGGGAAAGAAAGAAAGAAAGAGAGAGAGATTACTACACTCAGCCTTTTATAAAGCCGTTTCTTTCATTATAACAGGTCCTTTCATCCAAATGACACAGAACATTTAAATTTGGGCATAATACTCCAGTACAGTACACAGCTATAGCTTCAAATGGATTTAGAACCTGCTCCAGAAAGAAAACAAACTCCCTCGCTTGACACACAAATTGTTTACGATTCATTAAAAAGCAAAATTGCATATCCCAGTGCTGGCAGCTGAGTCCATATGGGTGCAAGGGGTATTCACTCATCTCTTTGTATGCTGGCAGTACCAAACCGAAGTTTAGCACTGTGCAGCTGAGATTTTGTGCAGCCAGACGATGCATGAGGTAATTTTCAAAGCTTTATTTGTCTTTAAAACATTAAAATCTGCTCTCTAGCTTACTTTTGATTAAAAGAATGTGGCAAATGGGATGAGGTTTGGGGGTAAGAAAAAATATATCTACTTTTTGTTGTGCGTTTTAGATTAGCAGTGTATGAAAGCCTGCTTATTACTCCATCAATAATTGAAACTTTGTATGAAAATTATTTGCAATTAACACATCTATTGTAAAGATCTTGAATTATTCATTTCAGCTAAAAATAACATCTCTTTCATCTAGCACAACTTCAACAAAAAGAGGCTATTTTAGTGATTTTTTTTTCTGTTAGAAAATAAATGGTGTGACGTTCAAGTTTAAGGAGAACTTTCTGCAATGTTTAATCTAAACAACAGCATGTGTGGTTATAAAACTGTTTATTTTTAGGCAAGTGCATTACTAAATGTTTCCAGGATTTTTGCATATTATATTCACAGTACTAAAACATCTGTGAAATAGATGTGACTGAAATGAAACTTCCTCGGACACTTTCTACAGAGGGATAATAACTGCCTAGTAACATTTGAGGATACTTATTAAATAATAAACACGGACATACCTCTTCATAAAAGCAGCCGATACACAATAAAAGAGGAGTGGTAATAAAATATACAAATGGCTTAGAATAAGGCAAAATCACAGCATGATATAAATCTTTGTGGCTAAAACAGGTACTTGAAAAACTTTGCTTTGAAAACGATAAGTAAAAATCAATAGCCTTATTTACAGGGGTTTAACAAGCTAAAAAAAAAAAGTCACATGAATAATCAACAGTTTATATGCATGCAAATACCCCTTCCCCCTCCAACTTCTCCTGGCAGAAAGTCTAATTGGAAAATCAGTACTATAAGTAAAGCGGTTACCCTTCCCTATTCCCATTAACCAAACACTGCATGTTACATTTCACTGGCAACCGCTGGCAAACCTCTAGGAGACGCTTAAAAAATTAAGAGTTTAGACAAAACAAAACGGAAAACCCCGAGCCCAAACACCTTTAAATACAAGCCACATGATATACACAATGGCCACCACCAAGCTGCAGAATAAAAACCTTCCGGATCTCACTTTTAAAAGTCTTTCAAGTCCTCTGAGGTCTTAAACTTTCCAAATGATACCAAAATTGGTCCGGGGCGGCGAGGGGGAGGGAAAGCCCCCGACTTGTTTCAGCGTATCATACAATGAAAGTGATCATGCCTTGTTTTGTAATTCCACTCGCCAGTTCTTTTTTAACTGATATCTATGTGAAATGAGCTGAGGTTCACGGTCCAGTTAGGAGCGGATAATACATTCATTGTCCTGGCAGCAAACTTTTCCTCTCACTGGAAGAATTCACGCTTGCCACAAGAATAATAATTACAGAAAACTAAAAATGCGCTGCTAACGAATTAATCCCTAACGGACAACACGCTAACGAGGGCAGTAATGATTTGAGGACTCTCTTCCTCGCAACAGGACTTGCATCTTCTGCTACAATGGGCTATTGTGCATCCTCCTAACTCACTATACCTCTTATAGATTCAAGATGTCAAAGGTTGTCTGGCCCGGCTGACCATGACATGCTAGTTAACTCGTTCTACGGAGCACGTTGGGACTTTATTGAAACTTTAATTGCGCCCAAAAGCAGCTAGAGCCAGACTATGTGGGATCTGTAACACATGGCTCCAGGTCAGCACAGCCCGGGAACCTGTTCTAACGCAAGCAAGCGGAGGGAAAAGTTAGATCGGGGTCTCGGCTGAAAGGCAGCACCTCGCAAACCGCGCTCCTCTCACACGTGATGATTTTACACCACGCCACGACTGCACCGTCCCAGGCTTTTACAGTGAGCGACTCGCTGGGTAACGGACTGAACTTTCCACCTCCCCTCTTTACAAAATATTGCATGGTAAAAAATGCACGCGCACACGGACGCTGGAAAGCAGCAGATAAAGTAAAACAAACTGAGCGCTAGGCAGCCGACTGAGACAAGTTACTCTGCACAACAAGGCTTTTTCAAACTACCTCTTTGCACACTTTTTTTTTTTTTTCCCTTAAGGAGAATTGAAAAAGCTTCCCTCTGGAAACTGTAGTGCACATTAACGATCTCCTGTTACACAGGGGAAAGCACACAAGTGGGGCAAGTGTGAGGCTGCTCTACTGAAGAGTGTGAAAAAAATCAAATGTTAATTTGATAAATGTGAGGTCTGGGACATTTTGTCAAAGAGGGAGGGAAAGTAGAAAAGGGAGAAAAAAAAAAGCAGCCCTGCTGCCAACTCACCATCCACCAAGTTCTGGCCGAGATGTCGTAGCAGAGCTGCCATTTGATGGAGCCGTCGGAGGTTTTCCCTGCCATTATGCTGTCAGCAAGCTTCATCTGATGCTAACTCACGGGAGATAAGACACCTAATTGAGAAAACATTTGCACTGGCATGTTGGGCAACATGTAGCCCGGTCCATACCATATGGAATCATGGGTAAAAAAAAAAAATCTCCTTGACAATGAACCAATCTCTCACAGACCCAGTGGCAAGGTGAAGTGGAGATGAAAAGTCATCTGCTCCTAGCACTGTCTTCTCCTCTCTCTCTCTCTCCCTCTCTCTCCCCCTCTCTCACTCACTCTTTTTTTTTTAAATAAGAACCCACTGCTCAACATCAAAGAGAGGCGGTCAAAATTAGGGCTTCATCACTCAGATGATTTTGGTCTGCAAGGTTTTTCTTTCCTTTCCTCTTTTTCTTTTTTAAGAAGAATAAAGAGATTTAATAGGACAAAGGCAGGTAGTGGACTGTGGAGGGAGATCGCCACAGGCTATTAGCCTAAAATTTCTGCTTGACAGATGGAACTGCTTAGAGACTATCATGCAATGTTTTGGGTGGGTTTTTTTTGTTTTTTTTAAAGACTTTCAGTCTGATTCACTATCTGTTTATCGCAGCTACTTTTCTCATGTACGTGACCGGGAGGGGGAAAAAAAGACTGAGAAAAAAAAGAAAAAGATACCGTCTTTCTTTCTTTATTTCATAATTGTGTGTATAATCATTTAAGCAGTGAAAGGCACAACAAAAGTATAAACTGCTCCAGTTAATTTCTCAACCCAGTGACAGATGCTTTCTGAAGGAATCAAATGCTCTTCCATTTTTTTGAGATGTTAAAGTTTTGGATCTTTGTTCCTTCTTGATTTTAGATATCAGATCATATTGTATAAATGAATGACTTTTCATATGAAGGTTCAAAGTGCCGTCTAAGAACTGAAGAATTCCCTTTTTATATATATTTTTTTTTTAATATAATTTTGCTACCATATTTTTTAAATCTGGTTTTTAATGTTACACTTTCTAATACTATCAGGTGACAACCACCAAACTCACAGAGGTTTGTTTTTTCCTCATGCAAAACTTCTCTGCAACACTCAAAATTTACATGAGGAATTGACAGACAACTTGGGAAAAGACAACTCCAAAACAAAACATTTTGAAAAGTTATGCAATTCTTCTAATATTAAAATCCATTTCCTGGATAGCAAAGTCAAAGATAATAATAGATTTTTCCCAATTTTCCACTTCTTCTGGAGCACTGTAAGCCCAACAGAAGCATTACTTTTATGACAGCTGACTATTAAGCAGGCAGTGAATGCTTTCCATTTAAATCACCCTGCTGTGTCACACGGAGTGACGGTTGCTGGGCTGTGACTACCACCCCTCACTGACAGGGCACTCCAGCCTATACAGTTGTGCCTTTCCTCAAGTGCTCGGAAAAATGAACTTCTGAACTGGCAAACGGACTCTCGCCAGGAATATTTCTTAGTGATGCAGAGCTATGGCTAATACAACTTGCTCACTCAGAAACAGCTACGCTCTGCAAATCTTTTTGTGATTTGGATGCAAGAGGAAAATGTATTAAAACCATCCACTTGATTTTAAACAATATCCTTTTCTGTTGGTATCAAAAAAGGGAGCTCGTGGGCATACAATTCTTCCTTGGATGTTTTGTGTACTAACTGTTGTTTAACTATTTGGCTACAGCAAAATGATCATTCTGGGCTGCACGGATTACAGAACTGCCATTCAGTGCAGGACAGGACTAACTTTCATTGAGCTTCAATAATACCTTCACATTTCCGTGATGTGCGAGATGATAAGCAAATGATTTAGGGTAGGTACAAACTGCTAATGTAACATGTAGGGACTAGGGGTTTGGGTTTGTTTTCCCCAGCCTTTCAATCTGTTTGGACTACATGAAAAATACATTAATGAATGATCTCTGCAACTACTCAGCATACCAGTTTGCACTTTAAGCTTCAGGTAGCAGGTATAATCTCACTGCAGTTTACAGGAAAGGGTCTGACTAGCATGGGAAGTGTTAAGTTTTATTTTGAGTCCAGGAAAAAAAAGATGGACACTGTGCCAGGAACTGTCTTTGCTCTGGCTAGGCAAAGCATTCGTCATCTTCTGTTACTGCAGGTTTGTTACCTGTCCTTTCAGTGCATCGCTGCTTATTGAAAAAAACTTCCCTCCAAATAATCCAACAAAATATAAAGCAAAATACTCAGTAGCAATCAGCCCTTGAATCAGTGTCAGATTCAATTTTATGCTGCTCTCCTGCTCCTACCTCTCAAACCCATCAACATACCCACCCGGCTTATTATTTATTTAGTATTTCATACCCAGTTGTGCTGCACATCATTCCAGACAAGTTCTGATAAATCTCTATTCTATATGGGCTTTCAGCACCTGGTGTAGTTATAGACCTCCTGACAAACTTTCTCTGCACTGCTCTATTAAACACTTCTTCCTATAACAATATGTGACTCTACCTCCCAATATTAATTATAAACACACCAACTAAATATTTCTTTACATCATACACTTTTCAGGTTATGAATGACAGAAGCATGAAACCATTTCCTTCCTGACAGTGGAGTGGTTATGTGCAAAGAAATGAGGAATGCTGTTGGTTAACAGCATTTTAAATTCAGAACAATTAGGTGCAGTTAACGTTGCCATTGTTCTTTCTGATGTTGGGGATGGTGGGTTCTTACCCGTAGAGCAATTACTCCTTTTATAAGCGGCTGTTGTTAATAGCATTAAAACAAGATTAAATACAACATGTTAAATATTGCAATTATTGTGGAAAATAAAATTATTTGGTGAGCATAATGGGGAGCAAATCAAGCATTTAACATGATCCAGGAAATGCTACTCCAAACAATTGCATTTGTTTTATGCAATTTTTCCCCTTTGATTGCTGACAGATGCCGTTTTGGAAACAAACATCTAAGTAGTTTTCCTTCAATCAGGAAAAAAACCACACACCAGAAAATGGCTACATGTTTTGAATTTAACTCTTGTCAATCAGCATTCTGCACAGCACTCCCTGTGAATAGTACTGGGACAAAACGATGCCTTCCAAAGACTAATAAGCCACAAAGATGTTTGCTTCTAAATCAGATCTGTTCTGAAGAAAGGAAAAGCCTTCGTGCATCATCGACATTTGTGCAGACACAGCTGCAGAATAAAAATGCTTGCAATACAGGAGTGATATTTCACATTGGAAATAAGTTAGGTGTGTATGGTTGGGGGCTACAGGAGAAGAGATTTGTTTTCTGACAGCTTCAGGCCTCAAGCAATGGATTGAAGTACTTGCCAGTTTCTTTCTGACTTCCTGCTGGAGAAGTGGCCAACTACCCAAAAATAATTGGCTTAATTGTTGAGCAGAGTTACCTGCAACAGTTCAAACAGTGCAAGTGGGCCCCTCTACCTCCCCTCAGCAGCACACTTGGATGAGGATACTGTGTATGGAACCAGGAACGAATGCTAAAAAAGGCTAATAAAGTATATTAATTCAGATGACTGTATCAAGCTGGCATTTTACAGTCTACTGGAAACCGAATGCATGAGAGCATTAGAAATGTTGGCATAGCGGGTGGTTTCTCCAAATGTTGGCTTCTGCTATTCACATTGGTAAAAGAAACGTGGTAGAACTGTGTGCAGCTCCCAGCACCAGACACATCTTTAGGATCTTAGTCCTCATTACTAGATTATCTATTAATTGCACAGCACCGATTGCTCATTAACCCTCTCTTTATCACCTTTGCCTCCCCCTTTTTCTCCAGTTGCAATTGCTCAGAACCTTTTCAGCCGATTGCACCAGTGTGATTTTAGATCTGTTCCTAATCTGGAAGGCATTTTCCTTGGGAAGCCTGAACTTAGATGAGCTACAAAGAGGATTTCCTTATCTCGAACAGTGACAATTAGTTCAAGTGCCACGTGAGAGCCGGCAGTTGATTTTTGGACAGCCTCTGAACTGATGCAAAGTTGCTGACAACGAGTGTGTTCTAGCTTTTGGAAATCCTATAATCCTGGCTTCAATCAAGAGGATCTGCTGTTGCTGAAGGCGTAAACAAGGAGAGAAGCAGCATGTGACCACGGCTGCTGCACCTTCAAGGACTCCCGAGCCAAAACGAGCGCAATGGTAAAGCTTCTACTGGTTGCTCAACGTTACACATATATTTCAGATGATTTTCCTGAACCCAGGGAAAATAGTTCTTTCCCCTCTGCAGGAAAAGTTGTTTTTGGACTCTGCATTTCCCCCTGTAGCTCTGTTGTGTGTGTTTCTCCCCACTCCCTTCTCACTCCTCTGATTTTCTTCCTACCATCTGTATTCCCCTTTTGCCTCATCTGAAACAAGCATCAAGATCTTGTTTCTGACAGAACGGTCTGTCAATATGGAAACACACTGACATCACAGACAGTGCTGTGACTTCATGTCTGAAAGAAACAGGAGGAACAGATGAAAGGAGTGAAGGAAAAGGAATGACACATACAAACATTTTTAAAAAATAAGTAAAAATTCTTCTCTATCAATCCAAAATGTAAAGGAACATAAACCAGATTTATTTTTAAGTCTAAATATAACCCACTATTTCCTAATCTGTGACCATAACTCAGTACAAAATTTCAACATGCTCTTCACCTGAGAGAGGTCCCTGTCCCCCAGGAGCACGTGCTTGGCTGGCTCAAGGCCCACGTGATAGGCAACATGACCTCGAGAAGGACTGAACAGGGACTAATCTGGAAAAAGCTAATATCAAGCATATATTGGAAGAAATCTTTAGAGATAAGAGAGGAATCCTGCCCTGGACTAATCTATACCATCTAAGTAAATGCCAATTCACAGAATTATAAATAAAAGCATTTATCAAAATTACAAACTCTGTTTGGATGCAGCTGGATTAAAGGTATCACTCCCCGCTGGGGTGGGGATACAGGATATACCCAGAAAACACTGAGCACACAGGGGTGGAATATCACCTTATTATTACTATTTTTTTTCTTCCTGGTATGAAATATTAACAAAAATATCTAACCAATATTTCTATTACTAGCAGGTTTTTTTGCATAAGAATTTA